TTTCTTTCTCTCTTTCTCTCTTTCTTTCTCTTTCCCTCCCTCCCTCCCTTCCTTCCCAGGCCACCATTATCAGGTTCAGCATTTTATCCTACAGACCTTTCCACACAAGGCTCACATTGAAGAAATTGCAAAACAAAATATGATTGTTCAGGAATAATGTTGGAAAGTGTAAAAAATAATTATTAAAATTATTAAACCATTAAATTATTAAAATTATTACTTAATTTTTTAGACATATATAAATAATCATGCAATACAGTATAATAGTCACAAAAACTACTTAAAGGTAATTTCTGAAGTACTAATTTTATTAATGTTGAACTGTTTGAGCTCAGCCCTGAGAGGGATAGTAGACTGATATGGCTGACTGCAATATTTAAAACTTTTTAAAAATGTACACTGGGAACAAGAGATGCTATGTATCCAAGGCATTTTTTTTAACAAGTTAGCAATTAAAGTATTCAGCAGAATTGCCTCTTTAAAAAGTGAGCAACATTCGAGCATTAATTGAATATCAACAACACCTAAAGCATTTATTCTTATATTTTTATACATATGATACATTTTAATTTTTACAAGTTGTTCACAGATATGAAAGTCATAGTCAATTCATTACAGGTATGAATTCCCTGATACTGAAAGCTTGTAATATAAACATTTCTACAATTAACATAAATACATGCTGAAAGAAATAAAAGTCAGAAGAAAATGGGCAGTTGAAGAATGAGCAACCTTGCTGAAAACCAGGATAAATTATACACTTTATGTCTCACGGTCTTAAGACCATCTATCCATTTGACCTTTATCTCATCTATAGTACCCTGGGGGGGGGGGCATTTCTCCCAATATTTACTTTATACAATTCTCTTTCTTTTTTTACGAGCAGCAGAGTTTATTTTATTGTTTTTCATTTATCTATGCAGTCACAAGGGAGAAACAAAATCCACAAAACTGAATGCATTGTTACTATGTATATCTTAAAGCAAATTTTATATTAAATAAATTGTGTTAGCGCAGAATTAGCAACTTAAATGTATCATCTGCAGCAAACAGTTTTATCTATAACCTAAACAAAGAAGGAAGATGAAAACTACTGCCAGATTGACGACACACAAAGGAAAAAGAGGTTTGGTTACTACTAAAGCATCTAGGAAGACTGTAATCAGATTGCCCAAAATTACTCTAATAATAGGCAGCCAAAATGATCTAGCTTTGTATGTGTCTGATATATTACTAGCAACTATTCTGAGAAAACAGCATGAAGTGATGCATTACATTGAATAAAAAAATAAATTTACAATAACATGAAAAAGCATGTTCAAAGTATGGTTTCTCTGCAATGTACTGGTGATGAAATTCCCCTCCCCCAAATAATAATACTTTATCGGTATTAGATAAGATTACAGATTATTATGATTAGGAAATAAAGCATTTTTTTTAAAAAATGATATTTTAAAGGACAGATGACAACTCTCCAGAAAGTATAGTATTTAGAAAATTCACTGCCTTCAGGCACCCATGTGCAAAATCTGTGCAGTTTTCAATATACTTATAAAGTATACTATAGACAAACTTCTTTACAGAATGCCAGCCAAGTGCAAATTCATGTATTTGTTGGTGCCTACGAAGGAAATTAGTAACTATTAAGCTTTGCAATGGGACCCCCACAGACACTGGGTTCCTCTGTTTCATCATAAGAATTGTAAAAAGGCAAATGTATCCAGAACCTTGAAAGTTGGAGTAAATACCTAAAAAAATTCCTATTCTCAGCTTCTGCAATTTGAGATCAAATCAAGATTCACAGGACTCCTCCAAGGGGTGAAGTTGCTATCTTACATTCTAAGAAAAAAATGTAATATCAAAGTCTACCAATCAATCATATGTGGAAAACAGTCTTTGCCTACTATGCCATTATCACAATCCACACAAAATACTCCTAAAGTGTGCAAGACTTCAAGAAGATAATTAAATTAGTTTTCCTTATGAAGTGTTCTCTCCTAGTTAAGAAATACAAACACCAAGGAGCCATGCAAGACTGCAGATTACAAAGTCATTTTCAATGTTATTTTGCACTCTTGTAGATAAATCCATTGCTACATTTTTTGCACCTTTATTTCATCCTATTCCAAGTTTAGAACAATTTAAGTACTAAAATGCAAAATGGCTCAGATTTACTACAAAAAGGAGACCACACTGCTTCAACATTGTGCTTGATCAAGATACTATTTCAGCCAAATTTTTCCTCCCCCCTCAGTTATCAAAAATGTTTCAGTAGATGCCAAGGATGATAATTTTGTACAAATTCACTCAGCCAAGTTAGAGAAATCAACAGGAGGTTGTGAAAGAAGCTCAGTGCAAATAATACTATTAATCAAATATGCTACACAGTAAAGTTATATGGTTATGGTAACCAATAAATATATAAAACAAACATGGAAAAAATTAAGGAGGAATTAGATTCTTCTCTTTATTATTTTCCATCCTTTGTTTCCTAATTCTTTTTTGCTTGATGTATTATGATGGATTACAAAAGAATTATTCAGTTCTAGAATTCAGAAAATAAGTTATAAATTCTGCCAGTCAATGCCTACTAAAGTTTGATTTGCTTCTTGTGCGTGTCCTATTTCTTCTGTGATACTATGCTGTTGCCAGAGTTTTTGAATCTTTTTAAATCTCTCTCTGCACAGATGTAAAGGATTCCCACGCCTAGGGGAGGGGAGGAGAGAAAGAAATAACATACAAATTAATAATATGAAATAATATTATGAAATTCCGTATGTACAGTATGTATTTTCTCCAAACAGCACACACACACATAGAGATAATGTAGCTCAGTGGCCAGAAATGCTCATAATGGCCTAGTTACATGTGAATTTTAGTTACTACATTGTGATCTTACCAATGAACTATTCTCTCTCCCTCCCCGTGATCATTTTATTTACAATGCTATGGCAAAGTATTACTTGGACAGTGTAATTGAAGCCCTTTGAACACTTCAGATGTAGCATAAAAAAATCTGATTTGATGCAGCATCCCAGGTTGCTACTTCTTTTTTCTTTATAGTTAATTATTCATAGCTGGTAGAGTCAGGGGTGACCCAGCCTTCATCTCTAAAAGTCTTGGTCAGTTGATGATCTTACCTGAGATTGCTACTATGAGTGAAAAGAGTCAGACAAACTAAATAAAGTTTCTATGAAGGTGCAATAGCTTCAATTTATGTATTAAGCAGTGCTCCTTGGGCTTTAATCTGCAAGTCTATTTTATAAGGGCAGAACAAGAGTCATTCTGTCATAATCACATAACACATTCAATTCAGCTTCTTTAAAATTATTATTATTACTATTATTATTACTATTATACTTATCCTGCCTTTTTAAATATTATGTTTCATTCAAGTCTGCAGTGTATATACTGGATATACAGAAGCCATGAGCTCAGTGGCCATTTTGATTAGTGCAACAAAAACAGTCCATTTATGTCTCTCACTTCTTCATTTTTGAAAAAAAAATTCAATGTGGGAAAAATGAAATTCATCATTTGCGAACAGCATCACTCAGTCTTCATATCAAAAAGCAAATGTTGAAAAACTACCTGAGTCCCTGATCAGTCTCTCCATAGTCATCTAAATAGGGAGGAGCATAGAAGCAACCCTTTGTTTTTCCAGCTAGGAATAGCACTTGACATTCCCGTACTCTGAAGAAAAAGACAGAACAAAGATGGCATCCAATCTCCTAATATTGTCCAATAAATTATTCTATCAACTTCTAGAGACTAGAATTTATCATTTCAGAGTAAACAGGAGGAATGAAACCTTTTGCAAGACCATCTCTCCTTGATCGTTTCTACCCATCCTATCAGATCCATAGGAATGGGCATGCTATAAGTCCTGTCAATTAAAGAGGGCCATTTTATGAGATTCAGGAAATAAGTCTTTTCTGTCATGGTGTCTCTCTGGAACAACATCATTCCCCTGGAGATCAGATTGGCCCCGATCCTGCTGGTCTTTTGCAAGGCCCTAAAGACATGGTTATATTCCTGGGCATAGGACTCAGATTTCGGTTAGACACTACAAGATCATTATGTTATTTGCTATTGCTTTTGTTTTTAGCTGTTGTTAGGTGCTCAGAGTCATCATAATGAGATGGACAGCCATATAAATTGCATAAATAAATACACAGATTTTGTTGCTGAACCTTCTGTCAATGAATGGCTGCACTAGAGGACAGCACCATCAAAGAAGAGTTGCATTATTATTCTTTTCTTACAGTGTGGCAATTTAGCAAAATTGACCACACACAGTCGTATTTTTACCTGAGGAAGATTCCGACTCCAGAGCCACACGTATATGTATGTGCAGTACATGCTCCTACATCTTCTCCCTCTAGCTCTGTTTGACAACAGTAACTCTGAGAACACAACATAGTTCCACAGACAAGGCATAATGTTGGTGCTCTACTTTTATCACCACCTGACTTTGGACACCTTTGAAAGAAACAAAATATTTGGTTAATATAGTGAAACATTAGCTATCATGCTGTACTAAACATACATTCTCCAGTTAAAAGACTATGGCTTAGGTTCAAAGTACTGCAAGTGAAAGCCCACTGCTGCAACAGAAATTTCCCACATCTCTCCCCCCCTCCCATTGTAGCTTCACTGTATCCCTACCCACAAAAGTTGTTTCTGGTTTAGTGATATTTTTATTATTTTATTATTATATACCACCCATCTCCCCCAGAAGGTGACTCTGATATGGAGCAACACAGAATGTGGAAAAGAGAACAGAGCAGCCGAATGGAGAAGAGTAGCAGAAACTGGAGGGTCAGGAGACACCTTATACTTTCTGCTTGAGGAGGATATATCTGGATCCAAACCATTTTTTTTACTAGTTGAACAAAAGGTTAAGTATATAGAAGTAGGCTTGAAGTTCCCAAGGATAAATGTAGGAACTGCTTTATCCTGCCACACTGTTTCAGGCCATTCTTCAGTCTATACCAGGATTATCTACCATTACTTTTCCTGCTTAGTACTTCCAATTATATAGGACTACAGCCATGCTGTCTTTTGGTGGGAGGGAGTGATAGGGCACCAGGTGAAAGAAGGTTCATCTATGGAGAGTCAGCAGCTGTCCATTTATAGTAGTTGGCAATTCTCTTTTTCAAGTCCAACTGTCGATGACCGCTTCAAAGGATTACAAAATTTGTAATTTATCAAGATTTTATTCCAGTAAAAATTAAGTGTCATAATAAAGACTTACGAAAAATTAGAAGCTTGATTGATTAGGCAGCTGTAATCTTCTGGAAGTTCTATTAATTTATTAGAGTCTCGTGGATAGCTGAAATCATAAATGCAAAGTATATCATAAAAAATTCAAAACTGCATATGAAACTGCCCGCAGCATATAAATAGTTTGATCTATTACAGAAAATTGAATTAACTATTAGCTGTATGGTAGCTACATTTACCCAAGAAAAATCTTTAAAACAGTATGACAGTATTACCTATAAATTAGTGAGATAATGTAGTAACTTTTATAAAGAACAATTCTGTTATATAGAACAGATACATCCACCAGTATCCCATCTGGGCCACAGTCCATATTTCAAATCGTGGGATGCTGCTTCCACACAAATATCTAGTTTGGCCCTAAGCATGATAACCACAGTAGGATAATATAAGTAAAGTTGCAGAGTGAAGATGCCTCAATATCTTAAGTTTCCAGAATTTTTGCAATAAATAACAGATTTTTTTTTAAAAATGTTTAAACTCCATTCATAAAGTCTTACAAATAGATGCTACTGAATTAGCTGTGCTTCCATACATATACAGGTGAAACTCAAAAAATTAGAATATCGT